ATGGTGGCACGAAAAACATCACCGACGACCCGGGCTGGGTATCTGTGCCGGTCGGGGTGTCCTACTTCCCCGCGGAGATCGTTCATGTTCCTAAATCGTACGCCGTGATCCCCGTTCAGCAATGGCTAGCTAGCTCACTTCGTACGTGTTATCCAGCTGGTCGCAAACCCTTGGCAAATTGGTGTTCGAGTCTGAGCATGACGCAGGTGGTCACTTCGCAGCATTTGAGGTGCCACATCGGCTTGCAGGAGACCTGCGAAGGATGTATGGGAAGGGTGGACCCGCGCATGGCGTTGTTCCGGGCAAGAGTGGCTACGATGCCTAGGATACGGAGTGCTCTATATCACGCTACGATTGTCCTTGGCATTTCGCGAAATCTTAGGCACCAAAGTTCAACTAGGATAGCCACAGGTGATAGGAGGTATTCGTTGGGTGATCAACCTTGCGCTTCTTCGGTAGCCGGTATGTACGGCGGCTTGGGAGGCCGACAACCGGCTGGTGAGCTTTGCCGGAGTATATTCGCGGCGCACACTCGAGAGACGAGAGAACTTGATGTTGATACAGGTCGAAGTTGAATCAAAGACTCGGAATATAGATATAGATACGGCGTATGACTACAAGTAGAGATCCATTCTCGTTCAAATTGTGGTGTACGCCCAAAGACTACCGCCTCGACTTGCGGTTGTCGCGATGGTCTGTATGCTTGCAAAGGCAATGTCATCGCGTTTGTGTCCTATTACCGTCTTTGGAGCTCTGCAATTGCTCGAGCAATCAGAACTCCAAAATCACTCAAACAAGCAGAGACAAGACGTGCCTTTGATGCGACGGAGTTCTTCCTGTCCTTCTCGGGCTGCGCTGCAGGCTCAACAGCCTGATGGTCCCCCTTGTTCTGATTACCCTGGTTCATCTGTGTCAACTACTGACGCTTGCCACTTCCGTGCTGGTGCTCACCTGCACTATCGACAGCGTGGCACTTTGTCCCGTACCAGGCTGCGCGGGGTTTTTTGGTGTTGGAACGTCATTCGGTACTCCCCTGTGAGATGACAGCTCAATGAATCCGATTCATGCAGTGTAACAATGAACTCGGTTACGTACATGTCGGAATTGCAGCAGGTGATTTTGACTCTTCCTTCTTCGCTTTATATGACCTCTGTGCGTACCAGAAGGTCCCGAAGGCGGCTACAGTAGCTGTGACGCCTGTTGCGAGCACCTAGTAAGGATTGAGGAGAAGACGAGAGCTTGAGTCAATCCTGACCGGTTCTCCGTCACTTGAGTGTGCCTAGCAGCTCACCTTGCCTCTCGAGCGTAACAGCTGCTGATAACTCCTTGTCACGCCAGAGTGGGCCATGCTGCTCGATTGGATTTCAAGACAAGCAGATATAAAGTGTGAGCAAGAACGAAGTCAAAGAAAGGAACCTGGGCAGACCCCATGGTATGTTATATAGGAGCAGGTCGTGGTGATGGGAAGCAAAGAGACCATGTTATCTATCCTCGCTTTCTCAGGCGCCACAGCGCACGTCCGCGGATGTGGCCACGTGATCGCGTATCCCAGGGCCGCTGCACTGAATGACACCGTACAAGTCTTCTGGAATGCCCGCGAGCGGGGTGACGCATTGATAATAGAAAAAAAATACTATGGTCAAGTGTTATACCACGGGAAATGGACTTCTGGAGATGTGACAATAGAGGATAGTATCATCATACGCTAGCTTACGCAACTTGGATATACGTCGAACAGGTACTCAAGAGCAGATATGTCACGACATGACCTCAACAAGAGGTAGAATAAGAGTGAGGACCTTCTTGCGGCTCGTCAGACCTAACACCTCCCCTGTAGCGTCCCACAACCTCCGTTTCAATATCTGAGCGTCAGGAAAGTCCCGCGGTACGGTAAACCTGAAGTGCACCTCCTGGAGCGCCCCCATCCTGGTGAATTTGTTGCGGAAGCGTCTCCATGGGCCGCGCTACCGATGACCGAGGGCCGCGAAGAAGGCGTTTCCGATCTCCGCGCGTGGGAACGAGACACAGAACGTAACTTCACGCACCTCGCTCCATTTGCTTGCGAAGGACTCGAAGAGATCGGTGTGGAGATGCAAGACCTTGTCGAACAGACCTTCTGGGCCGACAGCTGACGGGGCCGAAGACGCTTCGCAACGCCGAGAGAATACTGATACAGTGGCTTCGTGTCGTAATTACATACTTCTCAAGGTGATCCGTGACTAGGACTGTCCGAAGAGCCCTACCTAACGTGAGTTGTTGTTACAAGCCATTAAGGACATATATGAGCGGAGTTAGTCGCTCATGCGACGTGCTCGATCGTCCCCTTCTCCTTCTCGTCGCCAATGTCCGAATCGGCACCCTCGCGGACCATGATTTTGCCCTGGCGGAGCTCCTCTTCGCGAGTCGTAGCATCCGGAACATACACACCAGAGCCTGGAACGAAGATAGGAACGGTCTCGAAGTAGGCATCCAGCTCTTCCAGGGGAATACCCCTTGTCTCTGGGAGGAATGCCTGCATACATCGCGATTTTTCAGAGAACGAGGACGCAGGAACCGACGCTTTCAACCCACCCAGAAAAATAGTGCGTTGCTGAAGCCGCAGATGGCAAACACGATGTAGTACTTCCAACCTGCAGCATCGCTGCGTCAGACGGAAACCCTGTGTTCGACATGGCTACATAATACCCACCGACTGAGCCAAATGCGGGCGGTGACACCTGAGCAATCATGACTAGAAAGAACAGCCCGTCAATCGCAGAGGCCATGCTCAATCGAGGAGAGGACCTACAGTTGGATATCCATGCGGCCGAAGATGTCATAGCGGTGGCCTTGGCGCGAGTGGCGCTGTTGAACATTTCGACCGGAATCTGTCCCGCCGAGTGAGTATCGTAATATGCACACAGCTCTTGCACTGTTCACCCACCGCCCAGGACAGCGGCCCAAGACACGAAGAGAAGACTAGATTGAACAACCATGTCATAGCTACGAATGCCCTGCTCGCATTATGATTGTTCGTTGAGGCAGGGAAGATGGCGATGATGATCGTGCCGATCACAAAGGTGAAGCCCGAGAGCGCATTGCCCCAGATGAACGGACCGCGGCGGCCAAGGCGGTCGATATACCAGATGCACAACGCCTCGCCGATGAGCGCAATGACCGAGTTCCCGGCTTGTAGCCCCAGCGTCGTCGAGGTGTCGATGCCGATGCTCTGGAAAATGAGCGGGGAGTAGTATTGGATGACGCTCACGCCTGTCATCTGAATACTGCACAATGCCGGCGGTTAATTCAACTGTTACACCTGAGCAGAGAGGAGCTGACCTGAATTGAATCGCAACACCAAGGAGGAGACGACGGAAGTTGCTCTTGCTGCCGAACAGCTGACTCCAAGCATCGCGCGTTTCTTGCTGCTCGATTTTCACCTGTGCTAGGATTTCTTTGTGCTCGCTAACGACGAAGGGATCGTGGACGTCGCCGTGTGCGTGCAGGCGCGCGAGGACGCGCAGAGCCTCTTCATCCCTGCCCTTCATAGCAAGGTAACGAGGACTCTCGGGAAGGAGCCTCAGGCGTGCGTCAATGGATGCATCGCAATGAACATCAGAACGAAACCACTCACAAAATGAAGAAGGCAAGAGGTATTGCCGCTGAGATCCACATCAATTTAGGATCAGACAAGAGCGATGATACTGGTATGCTTACGCGTCAACTGAATGGCTGGTAAACGTGATCTCTTGTAAGTGACTTAGATACAACCATGGCATACAACGTACCCAGAGGTAGCCTCCACTGCGCCTGCCCACCCAAACCGTGGTAGGACCCATATCCAATGAACGACGCAATGAGCGCACCAATACCTAGCATGAATTGCTGCAGCGTGGTGAGACGGCCTCTTATGCTCGGGTGCGCGATTTCAGCCTGGTACAACGGCGCAAGCATCGCTAGCATGCCGATCCCCATTCCTGCAAGGAATCGCCCTCCATACATGTAGTGGATATTTTGCGCGCCAGCTTGAATGGACCCCCCAAGGAGGAAGACGACGCAACCTGCCAGGATGGAGGCACGCCGTCCAATCATATCCGCGAGGCTCCCCACATACACGTTCCTACAGATAGGTCTGATGCGTCTGTCTCATGAAAGGGAGTTCTGACCACGTACGAAGCGAAGGCGCCAAGCAGTAGACATCCAACGATCAGACCTTGCGCTGTCGCATCCGGGTGACCTGTGGTCTCGAGGAAATCCTCCGAAGGCTACCACTGATCATAAGTGGCTACAGCAATATGCAGATGCCTCGACGATCTACTCACCAGGACAGAAGCGATGATACCCAGATCGTAACCGAAGGTCACAGACCCGAGTGCCGCAAACAGGCCGCACAGCCAAGTGTAAACCTATTGGCAGGACGATCGTAAACTCTGTGGTAGCCCCGATTACGACTGGCAACGAACCTTCGGCGGGAGGGCCATGACTGCAATGCGTTAACTGGGATCGTACGCAGCGGCAGATGAGAAGCGCAACGCTGTCTTCGGCGGTGCAAGAAGCCCTCATGCTTTATAGTGTCGCCCGAAGCTCGGCTCCGGTGGGTTTGTGTTCTCAGGCACAAAATGCACCCGCGAATACGTACAGAACGTCTGTGGGACGCGATAGCAGGACCTGCGAGACGCTAGCTGTTTCATGTGATGCTGGGGCGGACCGCAAAGATAATGAAGCGTGTCAAGTTACGACACCTCAGGTAACGAGACCAACACTGTTCGCAGGCTTGATGTGATGGTCAGGTGGACTCCGTAGTACATAGAAAGTCCATGATACACGTTGCCGCTCTACAGACATCTGAGCTCAACCTACAACATGAGCAATCGCCTGCGAGCACCGAAGTGAGCGAACATCCAGAAGAAGGACGACGACCGCAAGATGGTGGTACCCAGCAACTTAGCAAGTTGATGGCGAGCGTGAATATCGAAATCGCGACCCGCATGCACTTGCAGTGGACTCATGACGTAGCGTGATGCGGGGTGGCAACAAACGCGAGGGCACGGAAAATCCTCGCGGATCTGGGGTAAGACGCCCATTTTATTAGCCGGACGGTCCGCAAACCCCCACGGACCGCCTATCCATCTACAAATACTTTCGCAACGAGGGCATGATCCTGAACGATATGGAATGGACGTTGAGGCGTTTATAGGTCGGTAGCGAGCGGAGCGGGTCTGTCCTTACCCACTAGTACTACCCCACTAGAGCTTTTCCCTGAACTTGTACTATCGCATTTCCATCAGAGGGCAAGATGTCAGACCAAACAACAGAACAGGTCTCACCGGCGATAGACATCTTCCCTTCCTTCTCCATCGCTCCCGTCTCGCCGTACATCTTTTCTGGGTTTCTTGAGCACCTCGGGCGCTGCATCTATGGCGGTATTCTGCCGTCCACGCGGACAACCTTCCCCTACACCCCACGCAAGCCATGCCCTGAGGCGCAGTTCACCGAAACGCCCGCGGCACTGCTCACGCCGGAGGGATTCCGCGTGGACGTCTTGGAGGTGCTGCGCGACGAGCTACGGGTGCCGCTCATCAGGTGGCCGGGCGGGAACTTCGTGAGTTCGTACAACTGGAAGGACGGTATTGGTCCGCGAGAAGAGCGCAAGAGACGACCGGAGTTGGCGTGGAATGGGGAAGAGAGCAATCAGTTCGGGACGGATGAGTGAGTACGCTCGCTTGTTGAAGGCGATATGGATGCTCAAGCTCTGGACATCTAGATTCATTGCTTGGTGTCGCACAGCCAAGATCGAACCATATATCGTACTGAACATGGGCACCGGGACGCTCGAGGACGCCCTCCACTGGATCGAGTATTGCAACGGAACGGGCGATACGTGAGCCTCAGGTCGTGCCTGCGCTGGTGTCTGCGAGAGTCTAACCTTGGTTTTAGCTACTACGCGAACCTCCGTAGGAAGAACACAGGTCGCGACGAGGCATACGGGGTGAAGTACTGGGGTCTCGGCAACGAGGTGTGGGGCGAGTGGCAAGTCGGCCAGCAGACCGCCTCTGCGTACGCGACAAAGGCGCGACAATGGGCGCACGCGATCCGGCTCGTAGACCCTGACGTCATCCTCGTGGGATGCGGCGAGACCGGGATCAACGCCTGGGATGGAGTCGTCCTCGACGAGTTGGCGGACAAGGTCGATCTGCACAGGTCAGTCGCGATGGAAAATGTGTACTCAGCGTATGCTGAAATCGGTTCAGCATCCACTTGTACACCGGATTTGGTCCCAGAGACAGATCGCAAACGGAGCGGGAGTACGGGAGGTCGGTGTACGGTCCGGACGCGGCGGAGTACTCTATCGAGGTCTGCAAGGGGCTGATCAACAAGGCTGTGAGTACGACGTCGCAAGGCTTCACGCTGCTATCTAACTATAGTGGCCGTAGCGTTTCGTTAAGGGCGTCAGCAAGCCTATCAAGATAGCGTTCGACGAATATGGCGTCTGGGATGAGACAGTAGGGACGCCCGAGAACGGACTCGAACAGTTCTACAACCTCGCGGACGCCCTAGCCATGGCCTCCTGGCTCAACGTCTTCGTCCGCCAGGCCGACGTCGTCGACATTGCGTGCATTGCGCAGAGTGTGAACGTGATTTCCCCCCTCGTCACAAGGTGTGTTACGACCACAAGCATGAAAAACTGCGTCTCAAATCGTGGTCTATAGCGCGACTGGGTTGTTCCGGCAGACGATATATTGGCCGCTCTTTCTCTTCTCAAAGTATATGCGCGACGGCATATCCGTCAAATTGACCGTTACATCTCCTCAATTCTCTGGGGAGACCCTTCCACGCTGGATATCAAGCATCAAAGGTTTCCCGAGCGACCTCGATGTCTCGGCCGTGCTCTATGCCGACCCGAGTGCAAAAACGCGCAGCTTACGCGTCGCAGTCGTGAACCGGTCCGAAACGTCGAGCTACGACGTGCCGTTACGCGTCGCGTTTGAGCGCGTCGGCGGTCAGGTGGAAGTACATGAATTGTGGCATGCGGACGTGAAGGCGCGGAATGGATGGGAGAACGAGAACGAAGTGAGCTTAGAGTCACGTACGGTATCATGGGATGGGCGGTGGACGTTCCGCAATCATTCCTTCACCCTCCTAGTGATCCCGTTAGAATAGATGAGCCTTGTGAACGGAAGCGGGAGAATAATAGTGGTTTCGAAGCGTTCTATGCTTGCGAGGGGAGTGCCAGTACCAGCGGGGGTGGACAGAAGAGCCGTGCAGTGCTCGCCACGACGAATCCCTTCGCTCCGCATTGTCGTGCGTCGCTGCTTCGAGAGATCGGCTTCGAAGCTTCTTGCTGCGGCATCTCCGAGGGTAGCCCAAGTCCAAATAGTCCAAGTGTAAGCTCTCGAGCAGCTCCAAGAGGAAGCTCGGTGCCGTGGGCCTGTGCGTTCATAGTCGGCAGTTTGCACGGACCAGGTTCGCACTGAGGACGACTCACCGCGGAACGAAACCTTGGGACGAACCGCCGAGAGAGGCCCTAGAAGGCGATGGTGGACGAGAGTCAAGGCAGGGTTCGAGTGCGGCTGCGGCAGGCGAGACCATCAAATAGTGCGGCGCGCGGGTAGATCCCTGTCCTGCAGACTCACTTACCACCTCCCACAAATCTTATATCATGCCTAGCGAGCTCGTTGACAGTCCCCTCACGGACGTTGCCCTAGGCAGGCCCACTGCTATCCCTAGCGCAACTCGTGGCGCACTTCAGCAGATCGTCAAGCAACAAACCTCGAGCTCCAGTCGCGGATTCGGGTCCTTCTCGGACTCGCTTGGCCTTCCCGTCGACGACACAGGTCACGAATTCCTCGTGCAACTTGATATGTGGATCCCAACTATTCCTATTACCAGCGAATCGCAGAAGTCCGAGATGGCTGACTCCGCGCATTTCGACGTCAGCGGAGCCCCGTCGGCGGAGTACGACTCGGGTCGTTCTTCTACGAACCTCCTAACGCCCCTTTCCCATGCGCCAGTAGACTTCGAGCTCGAGAGCATTGAGAGCACCCTCTCCGAGTTCAAGGACGCGCCGTACATCGTTGAGAATACGTACGCAGCGTCGGCGAGTCCGAGCGAGGTGTCGCGGGGCCTGGAGACAATTGGTGCGCATCTCGTCATAGATGGCCCCCCTTCGTTCGTCCCCATCTCTTCGTGGGCGCAACCCGGCTCCGGGCAGCTGCCGTGGCAGTACTGCCGTCCTACCGCTGCAGATGTCCGGGGCCACTCCTCAGCACTCTACTATCCTGTGGGCAGTATCGCGTATCCTTGCGTTGGGGCCGAACCCGCGATGGACAACAGCTGGGGCGCGTCACAGGCGTATTTACGTACTCAGTCGCCTCACGGAGTGCTTTCGGAGGGGAGAGGGGCTCGATACTACTGCCCTACCGTGGCCATCGACCCGACGCTACTTGTACCGGGAGCTGCGTATCGCTTCGCGGGACGACCTCCCCTCAACGACCAGGAGCAACCGCAGGAGCAACATATTGATGTTGCTCCAGCAGGTGCTATTGGTCCGGAAAGCGACATGCAGGCGTCATGCGAATATCACTACCTTGAGTCTTTTCCAGAGTCGCCGTCATCTCCGACCACGAGCGACGCCAGTCATTACCCTCACCCTGACCCTAGCGAAACAACAAAGCACGTTGACAAGCCTCGCGATACTGCTTCTAATACGCCTGCCAAAACGAAGGGACCACGGAGGCAATCAACAGAGAAGGTCTTCCCCTGTCATTGGCCGGGTTGCACTAAGTGTCAGTTCGCATCGCCGTCACAGTATTCTTAGCACCAGCTCACTATATAATCAACAGCGTTTGCTCGTTCTAACAACCTCAAGGTTCACCGCGATGGCGTCCATCTTCAGAAGCGCGACAAGGTCTGCCCTTTCAATGGATGCATCAAGGCAAAGTCAGGCTTCAGCCGCAAGTACGACCTGGAATTACACATCAAGAAGCGCCACTCTAGCGGGAGCATGAAGACGAAAAAGACGCATTCTTGAGCGCAGACACAACGAGGTAAGTGCTATGCATCTCATGACATGGTATCCTGACCAAATCAGTCCAACAGCGTGTTAACTCTCTCCGGTAGCGCCTTCTTCATTTGCACGCTACGCAAGACTCTGTTTCGAGTCACTCCCGGTACGTCGTCGTTACAAGAATGGGAGGAAGAATCAATTTGCAAGAGCTTGGGAGCGGGACCACTCGTCTGAACTTAACGCGGTCTCAGAAGGTCCCCCTCGGAAGCGCCTGCACAAGTTTCTTCGTTTCTCGACGAATGAATGTTGCAACTGTTACGTCCTGCGTCTATGGTCTCTGCTTCGTGTATTGTCTTGGCTTTGTTCGAATTGCGTCGTAACGCCTCGTGTCGTCTATCATGCCACAATGTTGTACAATACTGACCGTGATTCCGTGTGCTGCTCCTGGAGTCCTCTGTCCCGTCCCGTCCCGCCATGATACTTCGTTCGCAATACACAACATCCCTGAATTGTGCCTCGGAAAGATCCTCGCATCTGCTCCTCGTGTAGAATGGCGTCATGGTAATACACCCTTTTCGCCGCCACGGATCAATGTACCAATGGTTTCTGGAGCCATGGCCAACGGCATATCGCAACTTTGGGACATCCATGTGTGGCGGGCCGAAGTGTGACGGATTGAAGGGAAAGAATTCGGGAAGCCATCGACAGGGCCATCAATAAACCTTACGGTGCCGCAGCAGTCCGAACCAGAGCGCTTCTCTAGCCTGCGGCATTCTCATACTGCGGCAGCTTCCAAACGTACATCGATAGCTATAGATGTTGTGATGAGTCAAGTTCTGCGGAAGTACCGTGCATGTGCTGTAGCAACGTCTATATTGCACGTTCCTCACGCAGCTCTAGAAGAACAAGGTATCGTGCTTCTTTGTCAATGACTTCTCGCTAGCTGCTGCGGTAAGTCGCAGTCTGCAGTGAACTCCCTTGCTGCGATGGTCTGCAGCAGCATTTAGTGTCGCTGAAGCTGCTAATACATAAGCTGACTTATCCCTGTCATCTCGGAGCCAACATCATACGCCCCGTTTACTCAGACCCCGCACCTACTGTGCTTTGCGACCAACGCCTTCCTAACCGGCATGTCCAACGCTAACCCATTCGACCTCGCTGATCTCTTGGAGACCGGACTTGTCATTCAAGACAATCCGCGTGGTCGGGGCAAAATAGGTACCCTGTTCCTTTGCCCTTTCCCTGGATGTGAAAAAGGTATGTGCTATGTTCCCCAGTGCCTCGATGTTGACTCACTAACCTTTAGCCAATGAAGAGTTCAGCGTCAAGTGGAACCTGAAGGTTCATTTCAAGTTTGTACATCTACGTGCTGGAACACGGTATGCGTGTAGCGTACTAGGCTGCGGCGGAGTGTGTACCCTTCATTCCGACTTGCCGAAGCACGTGCAGCACGAGCATCCCTCCGTGGGCCACCCTGCCGAGGAGAACGTGCAGCCAGCAGCATTCATGGATACAGATGCGTTTGAGAGGAACAACGTTCGCGCCCTTCATCTCGTCAATCCGCCGATGGATCTCCTTGTCCAGGATGCCCCTCAATCGCCTCGGCAGGCCGCGGACGCCAAACCGTTCGTTTGCCACCACGCCGATTGTAATGCAGGTACGTCTCTCAATACTACACAATCACTCAGGTGACGTCGAAATACTGACCGAATACTGGCTCAGCTCTCGCGCACACACGCAACTTGCGTCTCCATTGCACCTTAGACTTTGCTTGCAGCGCGCCTGGGTGTAGCCGGATGTACAAGCGTAATCACGACCTCCGTCGTCATATGCGTAGAAGTGAGTGATTGCTACGCGTTATATCGAGCAAAATGCTGACGGCCTCCAATTGCCTCAGGTCACGAGCGTGCGCGTGAGCGGTTGTCTGACAGCCTGAGTTAGTTCTCTTAGTCGTCCCGAGTGTCATCGATAAGTCACTGTACTATAGTTTATGAACGAGATTTCAGCACCCGAGCTGCATGGTTGGCAAATCATGATTTCATGCCGAATCTCCAAGTAGTCATGCCTCACACCCCATCTTTGATGGAAACTTGTCCGTAGGTTTTCTGTTCGGAGGACGTGGTGTACTAGTGTGACCCCAGAAGCTACGGCCCATAATGTATGTCGTGAATATCTTCCTCCCATCCTCTCCGATACATTTCAGATTTTGCACACTTCATTCTCATCCTAGATAGTACATACGTGTGACATTTGAAGAAAATCGGTGGAGGTTTGCGTGGAGCATCGCGGAATTACACGTCTGACCCCAGAAGCTACGGAAAGGCGCCCAGAGATTGTCACCGACGGTCACGGTGCCGAAGACTGCCGATTCGCTTGATAGCGACGTTGGCTGAGGCAACACTGTCGAGGCGCTCAGATTAAAAGTCAGCTTTATCTCGGTCAGTGGCTGAATGTCACGCTCGAGAGACCTCTTCCGATCCTTCGAATAATGCAACCCGGAATCCTTCGGGAACTGAATAAGAAAGTTCATTGAACATGTTAAGAACACTTTGAAAAGTTAGAGAAAGATCGGCGCTGCAGATCTTTTTATGGCCACTCACCAAGGTTAGTAAACCCCAGAAACCCTACTAAGATTGACTTGTATCGGGAGCAAATCCCTTCCGATTTCCTTCATTCTCTTTGATATTAATATTTATGAAGTACATTGTATCGTGTGTAACCCGTGCACACTTTTCGACAGGGAAATGCGGGAACTTCTAGAGGCGTGTCAGTAGCTTCTGGGGTCAGGCGCTTAATCCGTAGCTTCTGGGGTCACAAGTACCAGGTTGACACGCAGTTACGATTCTGTGCCTGATTGATAGTCTCGTGCAAGATGCCCTGAGCCATCTGTTTGTCGTCGCCAGGCCAGGAATCGCGAGGTGCTATTGCATCCTTGGGCCGTGGTCAGCAATTTCTGTTGAACCTCAAAGCCGTCAATTCGTCACGCAAGCCAGCACTCATCAGGACCCGCAGTGATCAGCCTCAGTAGAAGCCAAATACTGTATCGACGGGAAAGGCGGTATCACGTACTCGGCGCTGTCTGGCCCATTGACGGGCCGCCCAGTCCCCGCGCCTTTCAGCGAACACGACAGTCTTATCATCCCAACATGATTCCCACATGCTGCTTGTGAAAGTCCTCACGCACACGCCTGCACCTCGCGCTCGTTGTCTACTGCATGCCCATGATGGGGCACTGCGATCCGCTTCTTTGCTTCTTGTTTTATCCGCTCGAACTTGCAATATGAGGCATTCCGACGACAGTGTTCCCTGTGGTCTCTGTACTCCCGCTCCCTCTCCCCGCTAATATGCTGGGGTCCCCGCTCAGTACATTGCCCCTCCCCTTACTCTTCCTTGTCCTGCAGTATGCAGGCTTCACTCTGTGCCAAGGTTCCATAGTCACAATCGACGATTCGGATCCCAGGATCCAGTATGGCGGAGTGTGGATCCTCAATCCAGGCAGCGACCCTCAGATGAATAACTTTGATGGCACACTCACTTTCACGAATGTGTCTGGCTCAACGGCGACATTTTCATTCACGGGTATGTATCAATCCTTTTGGCGTCACTAGGCAGTCTGCTCAGTGGGGGCCATTGCAGGCTCTGCGGTAGCCGTATATGGAGCATTCGAGCCCGGGACATTCAATGTTCTGTCGTCATACGCTGTAGATGACGGTGCCGGTACGGTGTTCCAGCCTGCCACGACGAACACGCAATGGTTGTATCGTCGGCCCTTCTTTCAATCTGGCCCTATTTCCGACGGGCAACACACCCTAGTCATAACGAACCTAGGCAACCGCTTTTGGTTCGATTTCATTCAAGTCGAGGTAGACGCGGCCGATGCCTCCACGTCTACACCTATGCAGTCGCCATCGCCATCCTCCGATACGTCGTCGCAACGCAATCAGGGATCGTCCGCGACTCCAAACACGCCGACCACGAGTATGGGCGTGCGAGCTTCGGGTACCGCGCCAAGCTCTGTGAGCGCTACGACTATACATGAAAGCAGAGGTAGCACCTCTGCTAGTGCGTCGCAGCTCACCGCACTTGGTGCTCCCGGATCTTCTGCAGTTCACAACATCCCCGTGTCGACAGCGACCTCCAGTACCGCTGGTCCTGATAAACTCGGGGCTGTGAAGACAAGGATTAGATCCGACTAGAGTCAAAGCAAGATCTTCAGTCAGTAAGGAAAGACTATATTGCAGTAACCAACTGTACCTAGAGTCGAAGCAAGACTACAAAGGTTAAGTAAGTAACTACAAGTTAGAGGTAAAGGTAATGAAGTGTTGAACTTGGACTTATCCGGTCCGGACTACACGAGGCTATGCGTCTCCTAGCGCTTAGCTGTAGTCGCTTATGTAGTATGTTACCATATTTGGGACTCTCTGCTCGTGTACTATAGCTATGCTTCCGGACTCTTCTGGTACTGTCTAGGACAATCCGTACTACTCCAGAACGGTCTAGACAGGTCTATGCCTTACTCATCTCTTACTCATCCTATGGTGCGATACGTCGCAATTCTTTCACCATCATATTATTCATCGCACTATGGTACATGTGACTAACCACTCTTCGATTAGTCATGGACACTTCTCTGTAGTATATAAGGACTTCAGATTGCGTCCTCCCTCTTCAGTCTTTCCTTACTGACTGAAGAGTGAGTACTTCGTTACATCTATCTCTAACTTGTAGTTACTTACTTAACCTTTGTAGTCTTGCTTCGACTCTAGGTACAGTTGGTTACTGCAATATAGTCTTTCCTTACTG